ATAGTGAAAATCTCCCCCCCTCCCCCCCCAAAAAAAGAAAGGTGAGGACTGAGCAAAACCATTCAGGTCTCAGTTTAGATGTCACCTCACTGCCACGCCTCTCCTAACTTGGCAGGACTACATGAGACAACCTTTCCTAAGCAATCGTACAGCAATCGTACAGCATCACAGATATCTCAAATCAGAGTACTTAACATTTGTTTCTATAGATTAATTAAACGAATTCACTGAGGCCTGTGGTGAACCAGGCACTTGCTTGGCATCAGGAATACAGCAGTGAAGACAGTCCTTTTGCACTTTGTCGGAGCTTCTTTCATTACTAATTGCTAACTGGGGAAGCAAAGTCCTAAAAGGGTATTTTTGTCCCTCCCTTTCTGGCTCTATGTCTCTCCCTGTCTGTCTGGCGAGCGCATGCGCCCTATAGTGAAAATCTCCCCCCCTCCCCCCCCAAAAAAAGAAAGGTGAGGACTGAGCAAAACCATTCAGGTCTCAGTTTAGATGTCACCTCACTGCCACGCCTCTCCTAACTTGGCAGGACTACATGAGACAACCTTTCCTAAGCAATCGTACAGCAATCGTACAGCATCACAGATATCTCAAATCAGAGTACTTAACATTTGTTTCTATAGATTAATTAAACGAATTCACTGAGGCCTGTGGTGAACCAGGCACTTGCTTGGCATCAGGAATACAGCAGTGAAGACAGTCCTTTTGCACTTTGTCGGAGCTTCTTTCATTACTAATTGCTAACTGGGGAAGCAAAGTCCTAAAAGGGTATTTTTGTCCCTTAGCACTAGTGGAGGGTAAAAAGAAAGGGAGAATCTGCATCGCGATGGAGCTTACCTGCTGGTGGGGGGTGCAGACAATTCACAAGCAAACAACAGAGAGTCAGGTGGAAGAATGAAACAGGGTAGGGGAACAGAGACTGGTCTTCATGGACAAGGGCCGACACAGGGTGGTCCAGCCTCTGATTGTGCTGAGGGAGGAGGGCGGGTAAAAATATGGCAAAGAGCATTTCAGGCAGAGGAGGGAGCAACTACAGCATTCCCAAGGGTGGAGTGTGTTCACAGACGATCAAGGATACTGTGTGGCTGGAACAGAGTAGGCGGGGAGAAGGCCAAAGGCACCAGGCCAAGAGCATGTCACGTATAGCCTCGCCCTGATTTTAAGAAAGAATGCCATTGGAGGGTTTAAGGAGAGTGACAGGACCTGAGAAATGTTCAGCTAACATCATTCCGGCTGACTTATGGAAAATAAGGTACAGGCGTGGGAGGCACAGAAATAGAGTCAGAGGCTACGTCGATACTCCAGATGAGAAGCGATAGGGCGGGCACCAAGTTGGCAGCAAAAGTGGTAAAAACCGTCTGATTTCAGACTGCTGGTGACTCTCCAGGTAGAGCTGGCAGAGCTAGCTGGTGAATCGGGTGTGGTAAGAAGAAGAAACAAGAAATCAGTATGACTTCTAGGCTGGGGGCCTGTGCACTCCAGAGAATGTAGTATACTGCCATTGGTCAACACGGGACAGAGGGGGAAATAGGCAGATTGGAAGGCAGGAAGAGGAGGAGAAGACCAGGAAGTCAGTGTTAGACACACAAAATTTGAGAAGCTGGGGCCAGCAGGTGGCGTGGTGGTTAAGGCACTGGACTCCAACATGGCTAACCATAGTTCAAGTTCAGGACCTGGTGATTCACTTTCTCTCTATCACTTTCTATTGAGCACACATGCCCTACTGCAAAAAACTTTAAATAATAATAATAATAAAATAATAATTTTTTAAAAATTGAGATGCCTTGTAGGTACCAGATGGAGATATCAAGTAGGCGGGAAGTTGCAGGAGTTGAGAACTTGGGGAAAAAATGAGATTAGGAATAAAATCTGATCTACTCCTAGAACATAACCGCTTATATGTCAGGTGAAATCCCCTAGAGAGGAACATGGCTGGAAAAGGATCTCAGGACTAAGCCGGCCAAGGTGAGCGAAAAAACCCTAGAAATAAGGAGCCCCAGGAAGGGTGGGTCCTGGCAACCGAGGAAGGGCAGGATCCAGGAAGGACAGTGCAGTCGGAGGTACAGAGCTATAGGGCTGTCAAGCAAAAGATGACCCCGATAAGTGGTCTCAGTGGGGAAGGCAGGCTTAGGGAGAGAAGAAGAGGAAGCAAGTGGATACAGTCCAGGTGAAGGAAGCTGCCATGATGAAAGCAGAGACAGTGCTGAGGCTAGTGGGAAATGTGGAGTAAAGGACAAGCATTGTCCATGTGCAATATCACAGTACGTGTGCATGCTGCTGGGAATGAGCCCACAGAGAGCAGGAAACCCCTGTGGACTAGCAAAAATGTACACTAGAGAGGCCAGCAAGTGGCAGGGTGGTTAGGGTGCTGGATCCCACAGGGCCAGCTGCACAGTTCAAGTCTCAGACTGGTGGCTTGAAAAATACGCTTAGTGCATGTGTTTGTGTCCCCAGATGCTGAGGGGAAAATGAGGGGAAGGGACTGTGGTATAGAAATCCACCCTGGAGGGTGAGTTCTCACTTTCCCTCTCTATCTAGAGAAAGCAAGCCCTACAGCAAAACTTTTAAAAAGTACACTAGAGGGGCTAGACCATGATCCAAGGCTGGCTGATCATGCTCTGGGGTGGATCATAGAATCAAAACCCTGTTGGAGGACCAACAGATAGTGTAATGGCTATGTCGCTGGAATCCCATGCAGTCAACCACAGTTCGAGTCCCAGACCCGGCAGCTTAACACTCACACTGGGGCAGTGCATGCATGCCCAAAATCATGAGAGGAGAACAGAGGAGAAGGGATTGTGGCATGGCCTTCCCCGGGGGGGTGATTTCTCGCTTTCTTACTCTCTGCCTTTCTCTGTCTCTCCAGTAGGTTTATAAGCCCTATAGCAAAAATCTTTAAAAAAACAAAAACCCTGTTGAGGATGGTATCTCTCTCTTATTCTCTCTCTCTCTCACTTATGGAAAGAAACTATTAAAGAGTATACTAGGAGGAAGGGACATAAATTCTTCAAATGGCTTTAATCTTAATTACTCAAAATGCTGATGAAGGCATTCATGAGAATAAATAAATAAATAAATAAATAAATAAGTAAATATAGCCTCTTTAACTTTCAAGAATTAGACTGGTCCTAACAACTAATTTAAAGAAAAAGAAAAATTTTAGAGAGATTTTTGCTAAAGGGCACATGCGCTCACTAAAGAGACAGAGAGATACAGAGAGACATAAAGAGAGAGCACCCCCTGGGGGGATGGCCACGCCACAAGCCCTTCTCCTCCGTTCTCCTCTCAGAATTTAGGGCACTCACAGACATGTGCCAGGCATGCGTTTTAAGTCACTGGGTCTGGGACTCGAACTGCAGTCGAGTACATGGGAGTACAGCGATATAACCATCACGCTATCTGCTGGTCCCTTAAAGAAATTTTAGAAGCATATTTATAGTTATGAGAAGTTAGTCCAAAGCTTAAAATGAGTGGTGAAAAAAAAAAAAACCTGAGAAATGTCTTTAATATGCAATAAGAAATTATTACAAAAAGTCACAAAAATAAGAAAAGAGATTGTTGGGCTGGCCAGTGGCATAGTGTCAAGGTGGCTGGGTCTCACATGGCCGACTCTGTGTTTCAAGTCCCAGACCCAGCAGCTGGAAAAACATGCTGAGTGCATGTGTGTACATACCCAAAATCCCAGAGGAGAGTGGAGAAGGGACTGTGGTATGGTCATACACCCTGGGGGGTACTTTCTCACTTTCTCTTTCTCTCTCTCCCTCTCTGAGTCTCCCTGGCAAGTGCACACACTTGTTATTGTATGATACTGTTATATAAAAGTTGCCTTTCTAGAAGACATGATAAAGCCCAGGGCTAGAATTCATTATTTTCTACAGTTTCCGGGAGCAGACCATACTTACAGGTTACACTGGTTCAGTCTGTAAAATTTGTGTCGTGCAACACAGAGTCTCCACACATATTTTGCTGTTTCCATGTCTTCCTAGCAAACAAAATAAGCATAAAGTAATATGAAAGTACACATACAACTTGATACTTTTTCTGCAGTGTTTGAGGACAAGACATAAATTGGGTGATATACAATGTCAATGTCACTTTCAGGACACTGTGATTCCTTTGTTTTCCAACACTGTGTTTCATCACATGAATGCCATGAATAGGATTTAAGCCATGCAGACAAAAAGCTGTTCTAATAGTGTTATTTTGTTATTATATAGTTTTAAAAGGACTTAAAAATTTAAAAATTATAAAATTGCCAATTTTCCTTCTGGACAAATACACTAAAAGGGACTTTTAAAGAAAACATTTGCTTTAGTAACTTAATAGTGCCTTTATCAAGAAAGCAAAAGCTAAATAATATTTCTGTGGAGAAATTCCTTTCTCAATGAAATTAAGAAGTGCTTACATTCTACCCCCAGTACTTAGTCCCTTAAGTTTAATTTAAAGGTCATCATGATCAGAGAGTACCCAAAGACTCATTCATTCAAAAGGTAAGCAGCCACCTTTTGCCAAGTACCATTTTGTAAAATGTTATAAAATATCATGGGGCCAGCAGGAGGCATGGTAGTTGAAGCACTGGACTCCCACATGGCCAATTATGGTTTGAGTCCTGGACATGGCGACTTGCTTTCTCACTTGCCACCCCATTCCATATGCACCCAACCTCCAACCCCATCTCTCTCTGGTGAACACATATGCCCTATAGAAAACTTAAAAATAATAATAATAAATAAATAATTAATGCTGAGTGCATGTGTGTACATACCCAAAATCCCAGAGGAGAGTGGAGAAGGGACTGTGGTATGGTCATACACCCTGGGGGGTACTTTCTCACTTTCTCTTTCTCTCTCTCCCTCTCTGAGTCTCCCTGGCAAGTGCACACACTTGTTATTGTATGATACTGTTATATAAAAGTTGCCTTTCTAGAAGACATGATAAAGCCCAGGGCTAGAATTCATTATTTTCTACAGTTTCCGGGAGCAGACCATACTTACAGGTTACACTGGTTCAGTCTGTAAAATTTGTGTCGTGCAACACAGAGTCTCCACACATATTTTGCTGTTTCCATGTCTTCCTAGCAAACAAAATAAGCATAAAGTAATATGAAAGTACACATACAACTTGATACTTTTTCTGCAGTGTTTGAGGACAAGACATAAATTGGGTGATATACAATGTCAATGTCACTTTCAGGACACTGTGATTCCTTTGTTTTCCAACACTGTGTTTCATCACATGAATGCCATGAATAGGATTTAAGCCATGCAGACAAAAAGCTGTTCTAATAGTGTTATTTTGTTATTATATAGTTTTAAAAGGACTTAAAAATTTAAAAATTATAAAATTGCCAATTTTCCTTCTGGACAAATACACTAAAAGGGACTTTTAAAGAAAACATTTGCTTTAGTAACTTAATAGTGCCTTTATCAAGAAAGCAAAAGCTAAATAATATTTCTGTGGAGAAATTCCTTTCTCAATGAAATTAAGAAGTGCTTACATTCTACCCCCAGTACTTAGTCCCTTAAGTTTAATTTAAAGGTCATCATGATCAGAGAGTACCCAAAGACTCATTCATTCAAAAGGTAAGCAGCCACCTTTTGCCAAGTACCATTTTGTAAAATGTTATAAAATATCATGGGGCCAGCAGGAGGCATGGTAGTTGAAGCACTGGACTCCCACATGGCCAATTATGGTTTGAGTCCTGGACATGGCGACTTGCTTTCTCACTTGCCACCCCATTCCATATGCACCCAACCTCCAACCCCATCTCTCTCTGGTGAACACATATGCCCTATAGAAAACTTAAAAATAATAATAATAAATAAATAATTATTTAAAAACAAACAAAAAAAATCACAATGTTTATGCTACCCCTCCCCAAATCCCACAAGCACACAAAAATGCTAACTTGTTAACATTTAGAAAAAACATTTCACGCAAATTCTTAATGTTTACTCACAGTCTGAAACTGGATGGTCTCCTCTTTATTTGCCAGCTCTAATGCAAAGAAGGACTTGTTGTGGGACATGTTAGCAATATCATGCCACCTAAAAACAAGGGGACAAGGCCAATGAGTGCTTACGTGTACATGAGGAAATAGAGCATGAGTTTCCTTATGCTTGGTGTATTTGCTAATTATTTTTCAAAGAATGCAATGGCTGGGCCAGCAAGCAGCATGATGGTTAAGGTACTGGATCCCATGTGGCCAACTCCATGGTTCAAGTCTCAGACATGGCAGCCTGAAAAACACATTGGTGCATGTGCATGCACGCCCAAAATGCCAAGAGAAGAAAGGAAGAGAAGAGATTGTGGCATGGCCACCATCCCTGGGGGGGTGGGGGGGAGTGATTTCTCACTTTTCCTCTCTGCCTCTCTCTAGCGAGTGTACGACATATCCTACAGTGAAAGTTAAAAAAATAAGTAATAAATAAAACAATTGTCTTAATCAGCTAGCATGTATTTTCAAATAGAAATGACAACAGCAGGTTGCAAAACGTAAAAGCATGAATTCTAAATAAGAGCAACAGTGTCTGAAAAGATGTAAAATATAGCAAACATCCTCATTTGCTAGAATAGCTCAATGAAGAAGATCTCTATCTTATCTGGTTGCCAAGGTCTCATTCATTTAGTCAAAAGAACTAAATTGGCCAGAAACTATATATATGCTCTCCAGAAAGAGGCAGAGAGACAGTAAGAAAGAGAAAGAAAGAAAGCACCCCCAACAGGACACAGTCATGCTGCAATTCCTTCTCGTCAGGATCTGCACATGCACACACACGTGCCCAGTGTGCTTCTCAAGCTGCAGGGTCCAAGACTCAGACTGCACAGTCAGCCATGTGGGATCCAGCCACCTTAACCACCAGGCCATGGGCAGGCACTCGGCAAATATTATAAAGGATAACAATGCCAGAAATTGCATTAAGGCCTAGGGATACTAAAATCAGCAGGCACAGTGCTCCCCTCAAGTGGGCAGAGTGTGAGGGTGGGAGTGAGAGAAAGATCACAGGCAAGTACTGTTAGGTGTTGCAGGTACACAGGGTAAAATCAGGCACAAAAGTGGAAGAAGAGTGCTCAGAAAAGCTTCAAAGTAAAGGTCAAGTGTAAATGCCAGGAACCAAAGGAGTGGACTATTTTGGGTGAATTCACTAGGATTCTAAAGCCTATTTTGTACTTTCTACTTTTATTTTATCAAATTTAGCTTTTAAAATATTTTATTATATAATTGTAGGGCCAACCACAGTTTGAATCCAAGCCCCAATGGCATGAAAAACAAGCCAGGTGCATGTGTGTACATGTCCCAATACTGACAGGAAGGAGAAATGGAGAAGAAATTAGAGCATGAACACATCCTATCAGGGGTGCTTTCTCCTCCCTGGCACATGCGCAAGCACTCTAGAAAACGTGGGAAAAGAGAGAGAAGACAGGATAAAGTAGCTAGATCTCAGAGTAAAATGACAAATATTTCTACAATATGACACTTTTGATTTTCTAGATTATGGACTTTATAAAGAATTAAAGACAAGGAGTGAACAACATGGCCAAATTTACTAATTTTAAAATATAAATTAGAACACACAATACAAAAAAAGCAATTTAAACCATCAGTAATTTAACTGTTCAGAGTCAGCCACTAGTACTGCCCTATATCCTTCCTGTATTGCTCGCTACATACATTTCTAGATTTCCAAAAGTAAATAGTATCACTTTTTATAATCAAGAAAGAAGAAATCACCATTAGAAAAAGTAATTGAAGTTTGCTTAGATGTTGGTATTTGGGAAATTTTGGCACATAACTAGAGTTTTTAAAAAGGGCTTGATTTTCCATAAGAAATAATGATAGAAAGTAGAGTTCAAAATATTCTTCACACAAAGAAAAACAAAAGAATTACCTCCATTATGGTAAGAAAAGAATCAGGATTTTGTTTTGTTTTGTTTTGTTTTAAGAGATTTTTGCTATAGGGCACATGAGCTCTCTGGAGCGACAGAAAGCAAAAAAATCACCTCTCTGGGGGATGGCCACACTGCAATCCCTTCTCCTGCATTCTTCTCTTGAGATTTTAGGCACACACACATATGCACCCAGCGCTGTTTAAAACTTCTGGGTCTGGGACTCTAGTTGTAGTAGACTATGTAGGAGTCCAGTGCCTTAACCACTATACTACCTGCTGGTCCCAGAATCAGACAATTAAAAATTTTTTTATAAATAGATCATTATTATAAACACTATTTTAAAATTGGTATCAGTTTTCACTTATAGTTTGGTATTTTATTTTTAGTTCTTCTTAACATTTCATTGCTGTACATCTCCATAGCACACAAGATGCTTTTACAAAAACATGCATTACAGGGAGCAGCAGTTCTGGACCTGGTGGCTTGAAACACACCAGGTGTGTGCACGTGCATGCCAAAAATCCCAAGAAGAAAATGGTGAAGGGACTGCAAAGTGGTCATCCCCGGGGGGTGATTTCTCGCTTTCTGTCTTTCTGTCTCTCTAGCAAGCACACATGCCCTAGAGCAAAAATCTCTCTTAAAAAAAAAAAAAAACGAACAAACAAACAAAAAAATGCATTACATTCTGCACATTTGATTTTGAAGAAAGTAGTTTACTGGGGCCAGCAGGCAGCATGGAGATTAAGGAGGCTGGATCCCACATGGCCAACTGTGCTATTCTAGTCCCAGTTCCAGAGGCTTGAAAATCATACTGGACAGGTTTGTGTGAGTGCTCCAAATCCCAAGAATGGAGGAGAAAGGATTGCAGTGTGACTATCCCTCGGGGGGAGGGAGGAGGCACGATTTCTTTTCCTTTCTCTCTCTCTTTCTCTGTCTCTCTCGGGTGCATGCACATGCCCTATAACAAACCAAAAAAAAAGCTTATTGAAAGAATTGCTCCATTCAAGTGATATTTTATTCTAGGAAAGGGATAAAGGGATAATCTCATTCTCTAATGAGAACTTGGGAGAGATCTATGAGCAATTTAACTACTAAAAAGAATTTAAAAATATATTAGCAGTGGGAAGCACAAAATACAGAAAGAGTTCATAACAAAAATACCTAAATATCACCGGAGGCCTTCCATTCTTGTGTTTCACAAAGATGCCTTCAAGACATGCTCCTATGGAGATGTCACTTCCTTGGCTATCCTAGAAGGAGAAAGCAGAAAAAGAAACACTCAGGAAACAGATGCATAAAACTACAACCGCAGGAGCCAGCAGGTTACGTAGTGGTTGAGGGTGCAGGACTCCCACATGGTTGACCGTGGTTCAAGTCCCAGACCTGGCAGCTTGCGCTCTCTCTCTCTGTCTCTCTCTAGTTAAAATAAAAATAAATAAAGATAAATAAATTAAAAAAAAAAACAGTCCCAGCCCAGTGGCACATTTGGCAACTAATGAAACTGAATGCCACATGGCTGAATACAGTTATAATCTCCAGTCAGCTTGAAAACACATCCAGTGCATATGTGCATTCCCAAAATCCTGATGAGCTGGAAACCAGGAAAAGTGTGATGAGACCCTGTTGCAGTTCCTTTTGCAGTTCACACAAGCATAAAAATAATCCTTTTTAAAAATTACAGCTGTATCTATTGCTAGTTCCCTAAACTTATTTCCCAGATAGAAAGTGTTCAGAGAAATACATGGAAGGAAAAAAGTCTGAGTAATATAAATGAGTTACCTTGTAAATATAGTTACACACCACTTCATGATGTTTTAGTCAGCTCCTTGTTTCCCATAGGATTATAAAGCAGCTGAAAAATTCCTATCACTGAGTGATACCATCTTAACATTGTAGCAAAGACAATACTCACATGCTCATGGTGGTGGTGGTGATGTAAACAAACCTACTGCACTGCCAGTTACATAAAAGTACAGCACATATAATTATATACAGTACATCATACTTGATAATAAACAACTATTTTACTGGTTCGTGTTTTGCTATACTATTTTTTTGGAGAGGTTTTTGCTATAGGGTGCATGGGCTCGCCAGAAAGATAGGGGCAAAGACACAGAAAGCGAGAAATCACCCCTCATGGAGGATGGTCACATTACAATCCCTTCTCCTCCACTCTCCTCTCGGGATCTTGGGCGCACACGTGCCCGGCATGAGTTTAAACCACTGGGTCTGGAATTGAACTGCGGTCAACTACATGGGAATCCAGCGACATAGCCATTACGCCATCTGCTGGTCCTACACTATACTTTTTATCGTAATTTTAGAGTGTACTCCGACTCATATTTTTAAAAATTTACTGTAAGTCCACTCTAATGTTCACATAACACCACCTAATGATGCTTTACTCAGAACACTCTCCCTTGTTAAGCAAGGCATGACTGTATGATGAAAACTAAAGACTTTGGTCCTCTTAAGTAACTATTTCAAGACTATTTCATGTGTGTGTATTTTTTAAGAGAGAGATTTCTACTATAGGGCACGTAAGCTCTTCAAAAATACAGAAAGTGAGAAATCACCCCCCAGGGGAGATGGCCATGCTGCAATCCCTTCTCTCCATCTCCTCTTGCGATTTTTGGCATGCACACACTTGCGCTGACGTGAGTTTTAATCCACCAGGTCTGGGACTCGCACCGCAGTCAACTATGTGCAAGTCCAGTGATGTAACCATCATGCCATCTGCTGGTCCCTCAAGACTATTTTAAAGCACACACAAGCTACAAAATTTGGGTCATAAGGACCTTAGCTTTTAAGTTTCCAGACTTCTGCACGTCTTCGACCTTTGTACGCCAGGGTATCCACAGGCTTTCTGACTACTGTTTCAAATCCTGAACCTAACCTTGGATAGCCCAGCCTTCCAGTCATGCTTACCTTCGCAGGGTAGCTCTCCTCTCCATAGCCATCCATTCTCTCTACCTCCTGCATGTACAGCATTTCAGCATCAGGAGCTGTGAGCCCCCTGCAGTCCAAAAGAAGTTAGTTGAAAAGACTAAAAATCCATCAAAATAAAGCTTTTCTTTATATTCTACATATTCTACATTTCAATTTGGCATAAGGATTATAAATATTTTAAGTCTCTATGCATCTGCAATTGGTTATATTAGTCATTAATATTTACAGAAAACTGACTACATGCAAAGTACTCTGAACACTGAAGGTGAATTACATAAGACTGTACCTCTTGTACTTCAGACAGGTAAGAAAAATCTCATTCAAATGAAAGCTAGAATATATTTCTAAACCACCAAGTAATAGCTTATTACCCAAAATATCAGGCATCACTGAGAATCATGTGCTAAATAACAAAAGACAAATGAAGGAAAGGAAAGAATGAAGGTGACCAGGCAGAAATCTCTCAGCTCAGGACGGGTAGGAAGGTAGTGTGGGTAAGGAGCAGCTCAAGTGCAGAGATCCACGTCTTCAGCCTCATCTTCTGCTGTTCCTCATGTCCCCAAGGCACCCCAAACTGTGGACATATTCAGCTCTGCATTTCCTTAACTACTCTATGTTCCCTCATGCCTCTGGACCTTAGCTCATGCTCATCCCTCTTCTTGTCACACCTATCACCCACTCATGGACCTGCCTGGTCCTAATAACCCTCAAGACTGAGCCTATGTATGACTGTCTCTTTGTCACCTTCTGGGATTCCCCGATACTCCCGAGTCTGTGCAGTCCTAACCCCCAGAGCATTCGTTTATCTTCTACTACTTAAATGATAATAAATATCATAGTTCTAATTACTACTGTGATAGGTTGTCCTACCTAGCCCTCAGAATGCACACTTGGAAGACAGGAAATTATTCTGTTTATCTCTGTACTGCAGCAGCCAGCACTCTATCTCATACACAGTAAGAGTACTAAAGTGTCTTGGAAGGAAAAGTACAAATGAATTAATAAAAATGAAAGAAGGTAAGGTAATGCGTATGCCCATGGGATCAATTAAGCTATGGAAAAACGATCCACTTAGATGGCAGAAGGACAAATTGGAGAGAGAGGATTTAATGAACTTGTGGGTAGCATTTAATCCCAAGGCAATGAACCCGGGTTGGTGTACGGCAAGAATACACCGATGAGCACTTAGGAGAGAGAGGGCAGAGACAAGCGCAAAGTGATATTTAAGAAAGACTAGTCTTCCGTGAATGATTGCATAGATTTGAATGGAGAGTCACTAGAAGCTAAAGGTTATTTTACTGAGAAGGGAGTAAATGATAAGTTAAATCAGACAGACCTACTCTCAAATCCAACCTCTACCATGGGTAGAGGCATTAGGTCTTTTCGAGCTTGCTTTCCCCATCTGAAAGGTAGAGATAATACTGTCCACCTCGAAGAGCAGCTCTAAGAATATAATGATAAGTACTTGGAACCGCGTAGTAATTGGTTTATGGTAAGACCAAGCACTCTACAAGAGACTTATCTTAACAGGCAACCAAGAGAGTCACCACCAGATAAACTCAGTATCCACCAGCCTACAAAGGTATGCAGAAGCAGGTCAAGGCAGTGTGGACCATACCTCTCAGCAGAGCTTCCAGGAGACAGAGGTACTGCCTCCAAAATGAGAGAGCAAACAACCCATAGTTGCTACATCGTAAGAGAAAATGAATCTCCCTAACCACTCCATTATCCTACACAGAATTAGGTTACCACACAAACCTCCAATATATGGAGTGAAGAACTACTGGGTTGTCTGGAAAGTCATGACACATTTTTGCATAGAAAACCATACAAAAATATGTCATGACTTTTCCAACTACCCAGTATCACCCTTGAACTGGCTGCTTTCAACTTCCTCATTTCCTCCTTGGTAAGACATGGACAGTGAACCGGCGACTACTGGGTAAGGGTTTAGAACAGCATCGGGCACGTAGAGTGCTGTGCCATGCCTGCCACTTGCAACACAGCGGTCACAGCAGCAGCAGTGCTCCACATTTAACGGTCACACAGCCACACACAGGGATGAGTTCTACGCTATTGCCACATCTTCTTAGCATTACCTGTATTTCTGATGTAGTAAGGCCACTTTCTGGGTTGCTTCTTCCAGTACTTTTTCATCTTGTAACCATCCCTGAAGAAAACACACCACAGTAAGTGTGTAATAATTCACTGAAATCTCTTAGCAAGAATCATTGCTACTGAGTGTTACTGACTTTTGTCACTTTCAGACAAAATTATGACTAGTGTTAATCAGTGGGACCGTTGCTTACATGTTTCTAAGGAATTAAGTGGCTTGTACTCAGGAACCAAAAATCTTGCCCTGCCTTCTCAGCACATCCCAGAGAAAGTTTCAGCTATGTTGTGTCAGGCTGTCAAAACCATCTTGAGCATCCTCAGGCTGGCTGTATAGACACTCAAAAGAGCATTCCACCCCTCCCATAGCTGTGCCAGTACAGTTTCTGTATGACCCTCACCAGCAATGGCTTACAAAGCAGAAAGCAGTGTCTTTTGGGGCCAACAGATGGCGTAATGGTTCTGTCACTGGACTCCCACGTAGTCAACCATGGTTCAAGTCCTGGATCATGTAGCTTAAAACTCATGCCAAGCATGTGTGCATGCATGCCCAAGATCCCAAGAGAAAAATGGAGGAGAAAGGACTGCAACAGGGCCATCCCCCCACAGGGTGGTTTCTCCTTTTCTGTTCTCTCTGTCTCTCCAATGAGTACACATGCCCTATATAAAAATCTTTCTCTAAAGAAAAAGAGAGAGAGAAAAAAAAAGAAAGCAGTGTCTTTTTTGGTTGTCTATTAATTTTAGATTTTTTTTCAATTGTGGATGAGAAGCCAAAATCATTTCACTATAACTTTGTGAGATTTTAAGTCTTCAGTTAAAAGCAAAACCCCTGCATAGTTCCTCAGAAGCTGAAAATCAATACCCTTCCTTAGACTCACATCCAAATACAGAATGGGCAGAGCTGAATGACTACAGACCCTTTTATTTCTGTGGGTTAACAAGGACCAAAACAGGGAAAGCATTCACCTTGAAATGTTTCTAAGAGGAACTAATTTTTTAGCATAATTTCTGCCTCGGAAGTCTAATATAAAAACTTCATTTCAGAGATATTAAGAGCATGGAAATAAACTGACATGATACCCCAATGTCCAAAGAAGTCTTGGGCCACCTCCGAGGTGCAGTAGTAAAGTACTGCTCAGGGAAAGCCAGATCCCTCATGGTAGCCACAGTTCAAATCCCCAGCAAGTTCTGCCCTGAGGCACACTGCAAACAGGTGCAAGTGCCCAGGAGCCAACCAGCTAAAGAAATAGGAGGGGGATTGTGAAATGACCAGACCCTGTGGTGGGCGCCCCTCTTTTTCTCATACACATGCATTCACTCTATCATGAATAAAGAAAGAAAAAAGAAAAAAAGAAAGACATCTTACCACAGGAAACAAGGCAAATTTCTGTAGAAAGTCCTGGGATTCATACTGATCGAAGTCACCAAAATCAGCTATACAAAATGATATTTACATGTCGATTATATGTAATTTGCATAGCAAAACTTGTACAAAATGCAATATTCAGTGTATAGGTGGTGTCCTTATGATTAAGAAGTCAAATCTGTCTTCCAGTTATAAAAAAGCATTTGTTTAAAGTTTTTTTTAAAAAAATAGTAAGGGTGAGCAGGTGGTGTGGTGGTTAAGGTGCTAGATCCTACATGGCCAACTCTGTGGTTTGAGTCCTGGACCCAGTGGCTTGAAAATCATGCAAGGCATGTGTGTTTACATGCCAAAATCCTGAGAGGAGAATGGAGGAGAAAGAACTGTGGTGTGACTATCCCCACCCGAGGTTGATCTCTCACTTTCCTTCTCCCCTCTCTCTCTGGTGAACACATGCACCTTACGCAAAAATCAAACCTGAATAACAATTAAAAATTAACAGTAATATTCAAGAAACCAAAGAAATGAAGTGTACTTAACGTATTAGTGAACACAACTTCACCAACTTCATTGATTAGCAGAGCTTTCTTCTTACAATATTAGTTAGCTGTTAGCACATTAAGTCTTTGAGCTAGATAAATATATAGCATATTAAATGCTTTAAATACATGTGCGTATTTCTATTTATTGGACTGTTTGCTCTGTTGACATGTGATTATAATAGAGTTAATCTTACATAATATAAATAGTTTCATTAAAGCAATCCAAGATCATTTCTTCTCAAAAGGAAGCTCTTTATATAACAGACTGATATTTAATTAATATATAACTAATATATAATATAATAAATAATAATTAAAGATGTAAAATATATAGAAAGTCATTTACTTTAAGAATGCTATTTTGGTATAACATACATTTTAATATGATAGAACTACTACATTATTAACTGCCCTTACCTTGAACGGCCAAGCCTGCTAGCTGAATTGCTTGTTCTAATGTACAAGGAATGTTTCCTTCCAAGATATCTTTCTTCAGCTGCAGATAATACTGATACCTATTTTGAAAATGTCATTTTATAACGTCAATTCAATGTTATCTCTAACTGAGGTACAATGTATTTTATAATTTAGTAGAAGGACACAAGCCAAATATATAAAACCTTAACCCCACATGGTTTCAAATGACAAGAATGTTCCTGACCATATCTACACACAAATAAAACCTTATAGATCTGATGAGGCATTTATCCTTAAGCACAGTTATTTCAAAGCTAAAACCATCTAGAACATTCCCTATGCCTGGGAAATAAATCTAGGGGAAAATGGTCCTGATATTTCAAACTAGACTTATATTAAAATATTTTTGTGGGACCAGCAGATAGCATAATGGCTATGTTGCTGGACTCCCATGTAGTCAACTGCAGTTCGAGTCCCAGACCCAGTGGCTTAAAACTCACCGGGTGCGTGTGCGTGCATGTGCGTGCCCAAGATCCCGAGAGGAGAATAGAGGAGAAG